CTTGACCAGGCAGGCTGACAAGCAGAGCCAAAAATACTCTGTCACTAGATGGTGTAAGAAAAAAGGGCAGCCCTTGATGTTTGCTGGGCCCGGTGATTCAAATCGAACAGCAGCCAGGTGTCGAAGAGCTGGCCAAGTACATGACATACTGTTATCTACAGACTTACGAGAAAGCAACAGGTCTGGAAGGATATACCTATTTCCTTTTGTCAGGATGAAGAAGAGCTTCAACACACTGGTGCGCCCCGGAAAAAGGTCCACCTTCACACGAGGAAGACGAAGCCGAGTAGAGGACAGAGTAGATCCCTCGCCATTTTCAGTCTCCTCCCCTCGCTCCATTGTGAAACAATTGGTTTTACCGACTCCAGAGTCGCGTCCTATGAAACCCTGTTCCCTTCTCTGGAATTAGTACCAAGTACAGTACTGACGCAAGTAGAGCACCGATGCAAGTAGAATACTGAGGTGAGTGTCGAGTCGAGTCCCAAGGCGAGTACAGAGTCGAGCACTGAGACAGTGCCAAGTTGAGTACCAAGTACACTACCAAGTACACTACCAAGTACACCACCAGATAGAGTACCAAGTCGAGTGCGAAACAGAGGACCAAGTAGAGAACCAAGAAGAGCACCAGTAGAGTACCAGTAGAGCACCAAGTAGAGCACAAAGTAGAGTACCAAGTAGACTACCAAGTAGACCACCAAGTAGACTACCAAGTAGACTACCAAGTAGACCACCAAGTAGAGTACCACGTAGAGTACCAAGTAAGAGTACCAAGTAGAGTACCAAGTAGAGTACCAAGTAGAGTACCAAACAGAGTACCAAGTAGAGTACCAAGTGAACACCAAGCGAGTACCAAGAGGTACCAAGTAGAGTACACAGACTGTGACCAGGAGTTCAAAACTTCTCTAGCATGTACTTGGTCAAGATAATCCAGTGCTCGGCTTGGCAGCTGCTGCCTGCCTGGCTGGTAGCCCAGCTTAAGCTGAACTCTACGTAGTACAAATGACAGAAGTAAAAGATTCATGTGAACTCCTTAGCCAAATCTACCACAGACTCCTGATGTAGTCTGGCTCAGCATGGCTGTCATGTCAGATTAAGCATGTTCGACGATGAGGGATGGGAGGAGGAATACGGTGGTTTGTCGTTTTCCTTACAGGGGCGACTGTACAGCTGGGCAGCAAGCTCAATGAGTTCTCCCTCCGATCAGCACTATGACAAACGGGTCGTTGCATAACAATTTGAAAAAATAAAGACTGACATGAGCAAAAGGACGGGATGGCATCCCATCGCAGGGGAATGCAAAAATCTGGCGACAAACAGATGTCTAAGGAGCAGGAACCATTTACTGCTTCTGTTGGCACAAGGAGAGAGGCAGAGCTAGCTTCCTTCGGGCCTCATTGCTCTACTCTCCAAATGCGCAAAATGAGGCTGAATCCACCGCTAGAACATGGAAAGATACATTGCCATCTTTTTTGTCTTTTGTGCATGTGGAGAGTAGTGCAGCGAGGCCCTTTACCTTAGCCTTGAGCTGTGTCTCTCTATGCCTCTCAGTTGTCTGTGTAAAACCCTTTCGGCCTCCAGCGGCACCGCCACTGCCTCGCTCTCTCTTCCTCTTCTGCATGCTTCTGGCAACCAACAAGGACCCACATGAAACACATGGATACCCAGGATAAGAACCCATCCAAAAAAAAAAAAAGAAAAAAAATAAGGGTCGGAAGCTACCAATAGAAAGGAACCTTGTGTGCAAAAAAAAAACTTCGGGGATTGTGGGGGGGGGGATAGGGGTGGTATAGGGGGTATTACGGGGGCTTATGAGGGTGTTGGGGAGCGGTTTGGGGGTATCGGGGGGCTGTATGGGGGTATTGGGGGCGGGTATCGGGGTGTTGCTAGGGTTATTAGGGGTTCTGGACCCAAAAGTGCACTGAGAAACTTTGACCGAACATGGCCTCAATCACTGTTGGGCCGACAGCTGATGTGGTAGACTGTTCTTCTAGCGACTTACTGTGTCACTAGACAGTCTACCCTCTTTCCCCTGAACAAAACGCACCCTGATAACGGATGTACACAAGCTATCTTTCCAGTCTGGTGCAGCTAAAATGAGGGTGCGTTGTGTTCGCGGGAGGAAGGTAGCACTATTGCCTTCTAGTAGACAATGAGGTCAACTGGTCCTCTAGACAGCATCAGCGTGGAGGTGCGCATGCACGGTGATAACTTCAGAAAATAGGAGATATAATTGTATACATGGGCGACAAAAAACATTACCACACACACAAAAAAAAATGGTGTTGGCTACCTCAAATAGTAGAGCTGGAAAAAAAAATAAAAAAAAATTCACTAATAAATAAATAAATAGTAGAGCTGAGTAGACACATTAAGATTAAAAATTCATGCGTTTCAGCCCTTCTTGAGTTTGATGGTGTTACGGTAGATAAAGCGACGCTGCCATGGCATAGAGGATCACAAGTCCAGTATGTCAGGAAAACACGGATCCACTTGCAGTTCGTACTAAAAGCAACAAAAGGAGGAAAACAAAACTTGGCGAAAAAAAAAAAAAAAAACTGCGACTGCTGCAGGCAAGCAGCTGAGGTTGACAGACAGAAATGCATTCCGCAGTCCTGCAGTCCAACAGACAGGCAAGAAACCAGCCATTTTGGTCTCTCTCTCTCTCTCTCTCTCTCTCTCTCTCTCTCTCTCTCTCTCTCTCTCTCT